ACATTTGGAACCCTCTTGATTCCTGATTGCCTTTTGATAATCTGATAACTTCTGTATAATACTCCTAGATCTTCAGGTCCCTTGTGACTATAAATCCAGAATCCTAGATAGCATTATTTTCTTCCTCCAGAGAAAGGAAGAGGGGGAAAACAACAACAACAACAACAAACAAACACAACAAAAAAGAACCCACCATCATTTCTTCACATATCACTGTGCAAACTTTCAAGGTTTATATAAATACCAATTATTTGTTCACATCTGTCATTCCATTGGGGTGGAATTGAGGAAGCTCTACCCACACAGATTAACAACAATTAGATGGCACAGTGGATAGAGTGGCCAACTTGAAGCTGGGAAGACTCATCTTCCTGAGCTGAAATCTGGCGTCAGATACTTACATGGCTATGTAACCCTGGGTAAGTCACTTAACCCTGTTTGCCTCAGTTTTCTCATCTGTACAGTGAGTTGAAGAAGGAAATGGCAAACCAGTACAATATCTCTGCCAAGAAAACCCTAAATGGTGTCATGAAGAGTTAGATTCAACTGAAAATTCCTTCACTTAGAACAGGTATTGGGAGCCTGCAGCCTTGAGGCCACAAGTGGCCTTCTAGGTCCTAAAGTGCAGCCCCTTGACTGAATCCAAACTTCACAGAACAAATCCCCTTAATAAAAGGATTTGTTTTGTAAAACTTGGGTTCAGTCAAAAGGCCCCAGCAAGGACCTAGAAGGCCGCATGTGGCCTTGAGGGTTCAGGTTCCCCACCCCTGATTTAGAAGACAGTGAGGGGTTAAGTGACTTGTGCTAGGTCATGTAGCCAGTTTGCATTAGAGACCAAACTGTAATCCAAACCTTTAGACAAGGAATTCTCCTTGTCTTTACCAAAATCTTTTCCTCTCACTTGAGCCACCATTTAACCTGGCAACGATTGTACTTCCACACTTAAAGTTACAAAAGACAATTTTCTCCATGAAATGTAGAGTCAGTCTCTTAACTTCTCTAAACTACAGTTTCTTGATCTACAAATTGAAGGAGTTGGACAATATTATAGCTCCATATCAATTCACAAACATTGATAAAGTACTTACTATGTGCCAGGAACTATGTTAAGTGCTGGGGATACAAAGAAAACCTGCTCTCAAGGAGCTCACAGTCTAATGGAGGAGACAACATGAAAACAACTATGTACTAATGAGATGGAGATCTGCAATCTTATGTGATCACTGGGGTCCATTCCATCTATGAGACACTGACAAGATGTATTTGCTTATGGCTGAGCCCAGTGGATGACCAGAATTCCAAATGCAAAGTAAAAATGCAACTAATTATCCAAGTGTCTTATCTTCACGATGTCAAGTCTATAGATATTTGGGTACATCTAGAATGGACATTTAACTTCCTCCCTAGATGTTTTGGCTTTGTGTAGCTATCACCTGAAATCCAAATAACTAGCATGTGCTGTAAGTGAATTAAGAATGATTAACTTTGAGACCCAGAAGCTCATTTAGAATGAAAGGTTATCTAATCCTGTCTCCTATTCCGTGCCTTCTACAGCAATCCTGATAGATGGTATTTTAGCCTCGGATTACATACTTGCAGTGTAGAGAATTCACTACTTACCAAGGCAGCCCATTTCACTCTTGGCAAATCTAATTCATAGTTAAAAAATTCTTGCATTGAACCAAAATCCATTTACATGTCACTTCCATACATTGTTCCTACCTCTGCCCTCTGGATAAAAATAAAATGATTTTTATTAAATTTCCTATATGTCAGCCCTTTAAATATTCATGACCTTATTGCTATCAGGTCTCAATGACCTGAGATTGGTCAGATCCTGGGACTCCAAGAATAAAGACCCAATGATAGTATGGATATTCTAGCAAGCATAGACACCAGTTAATTTCCACAAACATTACTCTGAGTCTGAAATATCTCAAACCTCAGATATATAGTTACAGCCAGAATTCCCATCTTTTCAGTGTTGAGTATACCAATTTTGGGTTGTTTGAACCACAGTTACCTATCAAGCAATCAAGCCTATTTAGTCCCTCTCTTGTAGCATCTTTTTGTTAAGAAAATATCCCAGGAATAAAACGGGAACTATTTCTAGTGTATTAAGTGCACAGGATTTAAAATGGGCAAAATTTATATTTTTGATTACTAAGCCACATATGCTATGTAACAAAGTTAAATTAAATTTTAAAAAGAAAAAATTCCAAATAATTGAATGTTTATTTTGGAGTCTCCCCTTAGGGTTTGAAGCTACTTTAAAGAAATATATCCTTATCAATATACCTGGGCTTGATAAAAAATGAAGGCAGAAAGTTAGGGGAGTAAGACTTCATCTTAAGGGAGGTTATGAATGAGTATTATGAATTTGGCCATCCAGAAGAAAGGACATTACAAGGTTTTATACCAATTCCACAGAAGTAATCAAAGGTGAGAGCCTTTGAGGCTGACATGCAACAAAGTATGGATTGATTCTCTGCTGCTTGTGCTAATTTTGGCCTAGCAATTAACACTAAGAAAACAGAAGTTCTCCACTATCCAGCACCACACCAGCCATACATGGAACCATCAGTTACAGCACATAGAGAAATTTGAATGCTGTGGATAAGTTCACATACCTTGGCAGTACTTAGGGATGATCACATAGATGATGTGACATAGATGATCATAGAAGAATGTGTTGCCAGAGCCAGCTCAGTGTTTGGGAGTGTGGGATTTTTAACAAGTACTTAAAGGAAGCCAGGGAAGCCAGGAGATGGAGAAGAAGAGGGAGAACATTCCAGACACGGGGGAATAGCCAGTGAAAATACATAGACTTGAGAGGTAGAGGAACAGCAAGGAGGTCAGCATCACTGGATTCCTGAGTACATAGGGAAGTAAAATGTAAGAAGATGGAATGGTGGGGCAGCTAGCTGGTGGTGGATAGAGCACCAGCCCTGGAGTTGAGAGGACCTGAGTTCAAATCCATCCTCAGGCACTTGACACTAGCTGTGTGACCCCGGGCAAGTCATTTGACCCCAATTGCCTAAAAAATAAAATTAAAAAAAAAAGAAGATGGGATAGGTAGGAGGGAGATGGTAGGTGAGAGGATGAGGTTTCAAGGATGACAGAGCCCTGTGGTTATCAGGAGTGACCTGAATGATAATCCAACAAAAGAGACTAAGAAGGCGTGTTCAGACAGATAAGATCAGGTGAGTGAGCGCAATGTCATAAAAACCTAGAAAGAAGAGAGTATCTAGGAGAAGAGAGTGATTAATAGTGTCAAAGACTGCAGACAGGTCAAGAAAGATGAGGATTGAGGAAACGCCATTAGATTTTGTAATAAAAAGATCATTAGTAACTTTGGAGAAAGAAGTTTCAGTTGAATGATGAGGTCAAAAGCCAGAATACAGAGTTAAGAAGGAGTGACGGAAAGGAGGCATTGATTAGAGACACAAAGGAGAGGAGACATGTAGGATGGTTGCTATCAGAGGTAGATGGACCAAATGAGAGCTTCTTGAGGATGGAGGATGCATGAGTGTGTTTATTGGCAATAGCGACTGAAGATCAGAGAGAGAGAGTAGGGATGACAGCAAGAGTAATTTGTTGATAACTTGTGCATATAGAGGGGTTTATTCTAGCAAGGAGAAGGGCCACTTCTTCATGTGAGACAGGGATTAAGGTAGAGATGATGGAAAAGTGATGTGAGGTGAAGAGAAGGGGAGAAGAGGGAGCTTTTAGTAAATGGCCTCAGTGTTTTAAGTAAAATAAGAGGCAAGTTTCTTAGCTGAGAGGGTGGGGGACGGGTGCTGTGGGGGAGGTTTGAGAATGAAGAGGTTTAGAAAAACTACTGTGGTGAGTAGGATAGTGAATCACTTAGGTAAATAAAAAAGAATTGCCTTGCTGCAGTGAGGGCCTAGTTGAGATTATGTAACATAAATGTAAAGTAGACTCAATCAGCAAGGTTTGTGGTTTTTCTCTAGCTTCATTTAACAGCTTATGAATAGGATGAAAGGCATCAGATGGTGGGATTAATACAAAGCTGAGGCTTATCAGGGCTTGATTGGCAACAGCAAAAGAGGGAAAGGGACTTTAGAGAACATGACAGTGTAGAGCTAAACTGGTTCACCAAAGGGAGAAGATAGTGAGGGGAGGTGATGGCCTGGGAAAGAACCAACATGAGGAAATCATGTTGAACACAAAAAAATATGGTTTGAGGTTGCAAGGCAGAAGGACAATGAGTTGTGATCAGATGATAGAATTTCAGAGCTCATGAACATGGATGTGGAACACTTATGGATGATGGCAAGGCCATGTGTATGATGAAAGTACAATCAGTCATGGGAAATGAATAAGTTTAGGAACTAAGGTATTAGGCTGTTTGAAGGAATACAATATATACATATATATATATATATATATATATGTTAAAGTCCTACTAGAGTATGAGGGCAGGAGTTTAGGAGGAGAGAAATACTGTGAGCCAGGCACTAAATTCATTGAAGAAAGGATGAGTATCCTTGAAATCAGGAGATAAAAAACACCAGAATCTTAATTGGGCAATAAATATGGATGGGGTGAACTTCAAAGAAGAGGTTGCTGAGTGATGGTGGTGGTAGAGACAAAACCTGGGAGTGGCAATGGGGAGCAGGGGAGTGTTATGGGTGATGGCAAGATCAAGGTTATGACCATCTTCTCTGTGTGTAGCTCAGGTGGGGTGGAGTAGATCATTGGAAAAGAGTTTCCTTTTCCTTTTCATTCTTGTTATTTAGATCAGGAAAAACTTTCTAGTTTCTCTATTTCCTTTCTAGAAATTGGAGCTGTCCAAAAATATCATGGGTTTCCTTGAGAGATAGTAAGATTCCTTTTTCTCAGAAGTCTTCCAGTAGAAACTGGATGACCACTTGTCAGGTATGCTATAGTGTGAATTCCTTCAACTGTGAGTTGAACTACATGGCTATCAAGGTCCCTTCCAACTCTTAAGTTCTGTGATTCTTTGAAATCTCCAGGTCTAAAGGAATTTTATATCTTGGAGCCCTGAACAACTTTTAGATGTAACTGATGATCCACTCTTGGAATCTTGGAGAAGTTGTGAAGGACAGAGACACGCCAAAAAACTGGAGGTAGGCTAATGTCTTGCTTCTCAAAAAGGGGAGAAAATACAATTAAAAAAAACCAACAACAAACAAACCCTGTAGAATAGGTGTATTCCTCAGTTGTTAAAGAGACTTGTTTTCTTCAGTGGACAGGGATGAGACAGAGTTAAAATGTTTGTTGTTCAGTGAAAAAATCAAATTAAAAGAAAATAAAAAAATGATCTGTGGGCACTTAAAAAAGAAAGTGTTATTCACCAGGAGACAGCTTGGGTTCACTGATATCAACTCTGGCTGAACTAATCTTTTTTCTTTTCTTTCCCTTTCTTTCCTTTTCTTTTCTTCCCTTTCCTTCCTTTCCATTTTCTTCCCTTCTATTTCCTTCACTTTGATAGAGAATACATGTAAGCATCATAATAACATCTACCTCCCAGGGTTGTTATGAGGACCAAATGAGTAAAGTGCCTGACACATCTAAATTTCACATCTCACATTTCTTTTGAGCACATAGTAGGTGCTTAATAAATGCTCATTCTCTTTTCTTTCATTTTCTTTCTTTTCCTTGGACAAAGTTACTAAATCAAGAAAACTATATAAATATAGCATATCTGTATTTCTGCAGAGTTTCTCTAGATAACCTTGTGAACAGAATGAAGAAATGTCGGCTGTATGTTATACTTAGATTTACAATTGATTGAATAATCATATCCAAAGAGTTAGGCAACATGGAGTAATGGATTGGGCATTGGACTTGCAGTCAAGTAAACCTGGATTCAAATTCCATCTCAGAGAGATATTAGTTTAGTGACCCTGGGCAAGATACTTCCCTGTGCCTCTGTGTCCTTCTCTGTAATCTGAAGAAGTTGGACTCAAGGTCGTTGAAGGTTTCTTCTAGATCTAAATCTACAATCCAATCAATTAACATTTATTAAGAATCTAATATATATGTCAGGAACTGGGGGTACAAATACAAAGAATTAAACCATGTCTACTCTTGAAGGACTTGCATTCCCATCCTCTGAGTGATGATTAATGGATCTGTATCTCCCCATAGGGATATCTTGTTTAGAAGTATGTGATATGACTTAGGCCTGTTCACTGTTTTTATCAGTGACTCAGATTATGACATAGAAAGCTTGTCAAATTGGCCAACGATACCAAACTAGGAGCAATAGCTAACATGTCAGGTAAGCCAACACTTAAAAAGTTCTTGAAAGAGTAAAGCTGTGGACTGAAAACAACTAGGGGTATTTAACAAGAATAAATGAAAAATCCTGCATTTAAGTTTAAATTGAATCAACTGTGCAAGTTGGGAATGGAAATTTGAAATGTTCAGCCTAGAGAAGAGAAAACTTAGGGATAACATGGTAGCCATCTTCAAATATATTGTAGACAGTCATGGCAGTTAGTGAACAGTCATTTATTTACTACTAAGTTTATGCTAGGCAATATGCTAAGTCCACTAGAATTTATTAAGTTCCTACTATGTGCCAGGCTGTGATAAGTGCTATGGATACAAAGAAAGGCAAAAAGAGCCCCTGACCTCAAGGAAGCTAATATTCTAATGTAATAAAATAGAGGATAAACTTACTTTTTGTCTCTTTAGAGAACAGAACTAGTACCAATAGGTGGAAGGAAAATTTTCTGTTAGAGATTATAAAAAATGAGGTGAATTTTCTCAGTAGGTTTTTAAAAATTAAATTACATTTTTTAAATAAGCAAAAATCTATTTTCTCTCCCTCTTACTTCCCAGTAAGTGGTGAGCTTTTCTGTCATTAAAAGTGTTCAAGTAGAGGATAGATGACTATCTGTCAGGGTTATTATGGAGGGATTTCCAGCACTGAGGAGGAGGTTGGACTACTTGACTTAGATTCTTTCCAGCTCTAAGATTTTCAGTTCTATACTATTTTGGCTTATAAGGCTTGGAAACAAGCTCAAAGGTCATGATCAAAATAGTACTCTACTAAGCATTAAAAAAAAAGTCCAAAGCACTGACTTATTTTAGATATACACCATTTCTGTGATAACAAACTGGCACTAATAAGTTCCTCAAAATTTTGTGTTGCCTTCATGTCCCTGAGGCTGAGTATGTAGAATACTCCTGGGTCATGACATATGTAGGTAAGGTAGACATTGTCAATATGATATAATCTAAACGTCCCCACCAATCCTCCTCCCATTGGCTGGTAGCTGATGTACCATGATTAGTAGCTTTTTCCTGTATGTTAAAAATTATTCTCTCATTACTGTCTTTAAAAAAATGCAAATATTCCTAAAGGGATTAAGTCACCAATAACACCTGCATTAGAAGCCTGGTGTGGTGAAAAGAGAAATGGATTTGGATAAATGGAGAGCTGAATCCCAGACCTGCCACTTACTAACTTTATTACTTTGGGCAAGTCATGTCACTTTTCTGGGCCTTCATCTGTTAAATGAGGGTGGCATGATGGATGATCTCAAAGGCCTCTAACAGCTCTAATATTCTATAACTCTGAGACCTGATTATGAAGGAATTTTTCTCAGATCGCTTTTCCTTGAGCCTATTGATACCTTGCCCCACAAGTGACAACATTGGACACTTGGTTATCTGAGGAGGCAAATACATTGAATTTGACCAGTCAACAATAGCCTTATTCATTAAGGAGAATTGCTAATACCTATATGTTCTTTCCTATTATCAATCAATCAACAAATATTTATTAAATACTTACTGTATGTCTAAAGTACTATATTGTGGGTAATTTAAAGAAACATAAACTGTGCTAAATCCAAAGGTACCTTAGAAATCATTTAGGCCAGAGGTCTTAACCATTTTCTGTGTCATTCATCCCTTTGGTAGTCTGGTGAAATTTATTAAGCCCTTCTCAGATTTTTTTTTCTTATTAGAAAATTCATAATTGAAGGAAATGCTAAGTTTCAGTTAGGGTTAGTGAAAATAAAGTTGTGATTTTTACTCATTCAAGTTTGTGGACCCTCTGAAATCTATTCATAGACCTCTTTAGAGATCTGTGGACCTCAGGTTAAGATTTCCTGATCAAGTCCAGTTTCCCTCATTTTACAGATGAGTAAATGGAGGTCTAGAGAAATAAAGTAACTCCCTTAAGGTCGTACTGTTAGCTAATGGCAGAACCAGGATCAGATTCCAGCTCTCCTGACTTCAATTCTAGTAGTCTTTTTATATCACATTGGTAGTTTTGACTTTAATTTCCCTGTTAAGCTAAATCATAATCTCCTAGAAGATGTATGTGTGTGGTGCTGTCTAATTATAAAAATAGGTCAGCTCCCATGGGGCAAGGGTAAATATTTGATCTTGAATCTAGTCCATGCCTTTCTAGGAGAGATTGAAATTTCTGCCTTTGTGGAGGAGCAGGAGAGCCGAGGCTGTGCTTTGTCCTTTGCCTATCTCTAAGACACATATTGGGCTATATTTGGTATTTCTTCATCACTCTTCAAATATCTATAAATGTAGGGGTACAATAGAGTCAAAATAAAGGACAACATCCCTCATAACTTTCAAGAAGAGTGTTATAGTAATATCACCAGCTCCATCAAACACCATAACACAAATGACCATTAATGAATTATGAGTAAATTCATTTATCCATGCAAGATAGTAAATAGAACTTCTTCTCTATTTTCAAAGAGGACTAATGACATCACAAGGTGATGTCTTGACTTGCTTGTGAATTAGGTTTAAGTGAGGCAGAGTGGCACAAAGTTGTCAGCCTACTTTCTCTTCCAAAGTCATGGAAGGTCAATGGCAGAACAAAAGTCAAGATAACTGGTGATGGCCTGGAATGAAGTGGTTGACCTTGACATCTTCATTGTCTGACCAAGCTCAAAGCACTTCACAGAGCTTGCTTCAGCTACCTTCATAGCTAGTGGAAAAAATTATTCTCATCTGCCCATTCTTCTAGGGAAATCTTCACATACTTGTGGTAGATGTCCCCCTGACTCACTGATGGGTTTGAGGCCTGTCACTTACCCTCAACCTGATTTAGCCCATCAGACAGAACAGTTTTACTGGGGTATGACCACTGTGTATGCTACAACTTCTTGGAGCCACAGGTGAGAGTTGGGTGTTGGGTGAACACCAAAGATGGTTGAGCAGCCATGAAAAGGGCTAAGCAAGCCCTCACACTAGAGATGCCAGTCCTCACTGAACATCCTATACATTCCTGAGGAAGTTGTACAGATTAAAATAGATCACAGATTACACAATAGTAAAGGAGCTCTTTTGCTGGAAGTGAGATAAACTATAGTTCAAACAAGGAGAGAAGGAATGATCTCACCAAGGGTAGTCTGTTCTTAACAGCCTTTAGGTAGTTGGAAGTACTGGAAATCAAGGGAAATATTGGGGGAACTGGCTTCTCCTACATGTATGCAACTCCAAGGTCTAATCTCCAGTTTGTAATTCAAAAGCATACAACTTAGGGGGCAGCTAGGTGGCATAGTGGATAGAGCACCAGCCCTGGAGTCAGGAGGACCTGAGTTCAAATCTGGCCTCAGACCAAACATTTGACACTTTCTAGCTGTGTGACCCTGGGCAAGTCACTTAATCCCAACTGCCTAAAAATTAAAAAAACACCATTAAAAAAAGTCCATAACTTGTCTCTCATGGCCATGTTCTTTTCCACAATCTCTGTCTTTCATAGCACCCTGGCTCAGAGAGGTCTCTCAACCCACGTTGTCTCACTCTATGTATCAAGTTACTGTCCTGGGAAAATTGCCCATTTCAAGTGTGCAGAGGTGTTATACTCCTTTCTTTTTTGTTTTTGTTTTGATAAATACTAACCTTGGAAACAGTTGATAGAAGAAGTTTACCTGGCCTCCAAGAAGAAAGAATGAAAGGAGATTCAGGGGACACTTACACAGAAAGGATCAGAAAATTAGCCATCACTTTGGCTCAACTTTACAAATATAGAGTAAACTGGAGAGGTCACAATTATCTAGTCTATTTAGGCTACAAAGGGAAACTAGTTAACTTGGGCCCCGCCCTTCACTTTTCTTTCTATTTTCCATATAATTTAGATAAAAATACTTAAGTTTTGTTCTTAAATTATCCAGATAACTTTTGCTACATAAACCTGGTAGCTAACACTTTTAAAAGATTCATTCTGAACTGGGAAAAAATTTTTTGCAACAAGTATCTCTGATGAAGACTTCATTTCTCAAATATATAGAGAACTGAGTCAAATTTTAAAATATAAGTCATTCTCCAATTGATAAATGGTCAAAAGATATGAACAGGAAGTTTTCAGACAGATGAATCACAGCTATATGTAGTCATATGAAAAATGCTCTAAATCACTGTTGATCAGAGAAATGTGAATTAAAACAACTTTGAGGCACTGTCCTATGCCTATCAGAGGCAAAAAAGGAAAATGTTGGATATTGGAGGGAATATGTGAAAACTGGGACACTAAGGCATTGCAAATGGAGTTGTAAACTGATCCAACCATTTTGGAGAGCAATTTGAAACTATGCCTAAAGGGCTATAAAGCTGTGTATACCCTTTGATCCAACAATACCACTGCTAGCTCTATATCCAAAAGGCATTCCCAAAAAGGGAAAAGGACCTATTTGTACAAAAATACTTTTAGCAGTTCTTTCTGTGGTGGCTAAGAATTGGAAATCTAAAGGATGCCCATGAATTGGGGAATGGCTAAACAAGCTATGGTGTATAATTGTAATGGAATGTTATTGTGCTATAAGAAATGACAAGCAGGATGATTTCAGAAAAACCTGGAAAGATTTACTTGAACTAATGCATAGTGAAGTGAACAGAACCAGGAGAACATTGTACACAGTCAGAGCAATATTGTTCCATGAAGAATTGTAAATGACTTAACTATTCACAGCAATACAATGATCCAAGACAATCCCAAAAGACTAATGATGAAGCATACTATCCATCTCCAGAGAAAGAACTGATATTGATTGAATACAGACTGAAGCATGTTATTTTCCACTTTCTTTCTTTCTTTCTTTTATTGGAGTCTTCTTGTACAAAATGACTAATATGGAAATGTTTCACATAATTGTACATGTATAACCTGTATCTGATTGCTTACTGTCTTGAGGAGGGAGAAAGGGAGAGAGGGAGGGAGGGAGGGATAGAATGTGGAACTCAAAACTTGAAATGAAAATGTTAAAAAATTGAAAAAAAATGACTCATTCTGATGTTTCTTGGTGCCTCCCTTCATGGAGTCCTCATTAAGTTTCCCGTAGGCATAGTTCTCTGTTGGGCACTGGAGATCAATGCATTTGTACAGTTCTGAAGCTGCCTCTTCTGAGTGTGTCTTGTTTGTCCTCCGTGTGTCTCTCAGTTCCTGATACGTACACTGCAATATCTAACCTTATACACATGAATGTAATGGAATATTGTTGTGCTATAAGAATAATGGATCTGATGAGTACAGAGAATCATGGAAGAAAACATGAATTGATGCAAAGTGAAGTAAGGAGAACCAGGACAACAATATTCACAATGGAATATACACAATAAAAATTACAAAGCCAACCCCCAAACAGTCCAAACTGAATGCTGTGGAATTACAGTGGAGTTACATGTAACCTTGGTCCCAAAGAATGAAATGGCATTTGTTCTCATTTATGCACAGGGATTAGGGAACATTGTATATAAAGTTAGACTCTTTCAATATATTGGTCATTTTGCTTAATTTTTCATTTTTATGAAAAAAAAATATTATAATGGATGGAATTCTGGGAAGGGGAAAGGGAAGATTGGGGAAAGTAGGTTATACAGTTCCAAAGACCTTGTGATGAAATGTCCTGTCTACCTCTAGATAGGGAACTAATGGACTCAGAGTGTAAATTGAGGTATATTCCCTTCCCTACCCTTCCTTATCCTTTCTTTTTTGGATATGGTTATGCAGGAAATTTGTTTTGCTTGACTATACATATTTGTATTGGTATTATTCTTCTTACTTTCTCGATTGGTGAGGGAGAGGCAGGTGGGAGGGAGAGAATTCAGAACTGAAAATAAAATAAAATTGAGAATTCAACAGTTAAAAAAAAGAAAAGTTTATTTAAAATAAATAAAAGCATACCTACTTCTATAGGTGCAGAGTAAATATATCCCATGTCTTTGGAGTGGACATTTAATACTACGTGATGTTTTTTGTATACCTAATCACCTGAGAAGGAGGAGAGATCATAAGATCAGAGATGAAGAGCTAGGAGGGATCTTAGAGGTCATTTAAAAATAAATATTCTTTTAAAATTATCAACTTGACAAAAATTAACAAGTATTTATGTTCCCATAGATAAGAAAGAGAATTGCATATGAAACCTTGAATCTCTCTTATGTTTCTTAAAGTATATGTAAAATTTTACATGATGGTAACACTGTCCCACTTGTCAGTGTTCCCAGGTGAATTTCCTTTTGCTTTCTTCTGTTTTTTAAAAAAGTTTCTCTAGTGATTTCTTTTCATCAATACTACCCACTTCCTACAATTCTCCTCTACAAGAAAGGAAGAAAGAAAAAGAAAGGAAGGAAGGAAGGAAGGAAGGAAGTCCTTCCCTTTTAAGAAGTAAATATAGTCAGAATACACATGCATGTTGATCATGTCTGGTCCCTTGAGGAGTAGCTGAAGAAACCGGTACATTAATATAATGGAATATTACCCCACTGAAGGAAACAGTGAGCATTACAAATACAAAGAAGTATGGGAAGATTTCTGTTAGCAGACATAAAATTAAATAAGCAGAACCAAGAAAAATGACTACAACAACATAAATGGAAAGAGCAATAATAAACCATTGAAGCTGAATGCTGTGAAATAGTAATGACTAATCATGCTATATATAGATGATATAAGAAGGCACATTCTTATTTTACTTGTAGAAATGGAGTACTGTGGATGTGAACAGTGAATTTAACATCGGACTTCGTTGATGTATGCCTCCTTTGATGATTTATCTTCCATATAACTCCTCCAATTGTGAGTGTTCCTCAGATTTTTGTCCTAGACCCTCTTTCCTTCTTCTTCTTTGTTTTTGTTAACTTCATCAGCTGCCATGGATTTACCTATCTATACATACAATTCACACATATATATGTATTTATGTGTGTATCTATCCAGCCCTAGTCTCTCTTCTGGACTTCTGTTCTGTACCTTTAATACTGTATTGGACAGTTGCAAAAAGAATTACTGGAAATATCTTAAATTCAACATGTCTAAAACTGAACTTGTTATATTTTCTCCCAAATATATTTGTTATATTTTCTCCCAAACCCTCTCTTGATTTCAAACTTCCCTCTCTTGATTGAGGTCACTGCCATCTTCCAGTCTCCCAGATTCATCTTGGCATTAACTTTGACTCTTTCATCTCCCTCACCCCAAAGAACTAATCAATTGCCAAATTTTGCCATTTATATATTGTATCATCTCTCACATCAGACCTCTTCTCTCTACTCTCACAGTGACCCCCTTGATTCAGGGCTTCATCATTTCTAGTCGAGTTACAACAGCTTCCTAACTGGTCTTCCTGCCTCATCTTTCATCATGCCAGTTCATTTTAAACGTGCTTGCCAAAGTACTTTTCCTTAGGCACAAATCTGACCGAGTCACTTCCCTCCTCAATTAGTTCTAGCATCTTCCTGTGGCCTCTGGGATAAAATCCAAATTCCTGCTTAAATTTTAAATCTCCATACATTCTGGCCCCAATCTACCTTTTCAGCCTCATTGGACATTCCTTTCCCTCTTGTCCTCTGAGATCAAGCCAATCTGGACTTCTCTATTCTTCTCATATGGCAGAGGGTAGAAGTTGAGTCAATAAATGGAGTCAGAGGAGAGATCTGAATGGTAGCAGTAGAACTAGTGCAATGTATTTAAAGGAAGTGGTAATCAGCCATTTTAAATGTTGAAGGGAAGTCAAGAAAAATGAGTATTTAAAGACCTTTGGATTAACTGATTAGTAGATAACTGGTAACCTTGGGAAAGAGAAGTTTCAGGGCAATGTAGGAACAGAAACAAGGGTGAAAGGTTAATGAGTGTCACTGTGAAAATAACATTAGCAAGGCTCAGGATATGAAGAAACTGAGACTCCTAAAACACAATGGAGGCAGTAAAAGTCATTTTAAGGAAGAAAAACAAGGAAGAGATCATAAAGCAAGATGGTATAATGTTAATAGCTGGAGGAAAGATCTACTAAAAGTACATGTATAACAAATATTTATCAAGACACTGTGTACAGAACACTGTACTAGATTCTGGAGGAGATACAAAGTTCAGATAAGACATAGTCCCTGCCTTCCAGTAGCTTAGTATCTGGAAGAGTGGATACAACATGAACAGATATCTACACGGGATATTATGTGACAAGCACATTAAACAAAAAATCAGTCTGGGTCCATGATTTTGCCAAAGTGGAAACTCTCCAGTGATGAAGATCAGCACCTTGATTGTAATTTATATTCTTAGATTATTGTCTGAGGGTACTGAAAAGTTAAGTGACTTGCCCAGGATCACATAGCCCATCTGTGTCAAGGTAAGACATGAACCTAGGTCCCTCTGATGCTAAGGCAAGCCTGCCAACTACTAGGCCAAACTGCTTCTTAAATATGCTAGATAGACATGGACTATGAAAGACTGAGGTTTGGGAAAGGAGGGGAGGAATCTATCAACTTTAGATCAGTAGTTAGGAAAAATACTGGTTATTTTGCTTTTATTTTCTCCCGTGATAAGAATGATCTTCAAGCTTTGAAGAAAAGATGTAGCCCAAGATAAGCAGGGAGCATTAAGCTGACATAAATTTCCTTGGTCTTCCTGGGGCCTAGTCAAAGTGTATCTCTTATACTGTGGTTACTTGTCCAAATAATGTCAGTGGTGCCAATAATTTTTGACAAATTGTGGGAAAAAGAATTCCCAGAAGACTAGATAGGGACTTTCTTTGTCATTTAATTGGTAGAGGAAATTCTCTGGTGAGGAGACCACCTTTACCAATGCAGTTAAGCACCTTTTTCTCAATTTCTAGTTGCCTAAAGCACTGAAATTTTAAGTGACTTGCCCAGGGGCAGATAGTTAGTATTTGTCAATGTCAGGACTTAAACCCAGGTCTTACAGGCCCTCAAGGCCAGGCCTGTTCACTTTGCCAAGTTGTCTCTTCCAAGAGAACTGAAGATAGAAAAATACACTGCTAATTGTGAAAAAGGGTCAATGCAATGGAAATTGTAGATTAATGAGTATGACCTTGATCACTAGGACATTTTTAGATCAATTATTAAAGTCAATATTTAGGAAAGAATGTACAGTAGATGATAGTTCTAGAGTTGGAAGGGATCTTAGAGGCCATCTTAGAGGCCCTCTCAATTTAGAGATGAAGAAACTGAAACAAGTCCAGAGAAGTTAAGTGACTTGCCCCAGGTCACACAGGCAGTAAGCTTCAGAGACAGGATTTGAACCAAAGTGCTCGACTCTGGATCCTGTATTCTTATTGCTTTACCAGCTGCCAACTCATTAAGAAGTTCTATCAATCTGAGGTCTAAAGTCTCTTATTGCTGCCGCTGCTGCCGATACTTATTCAATCATGTCTGACTATGACCTTATTTGGGATTTTTCTCGGCAAACATACTGGAGTGGTTTGCCATTTCCTTTTCCAGCTCATTTTACAGATGAAGAAACTGAGGTAAACAGGGGTTAAGTGACTTTCTCAGGGTCACATAGCTACTAAGTGTCAGAGGCTAGATTTGAACTCATGTGTTCCTGGCTACAGGCACAATGATCCATCCACTGTATCACTTAGCGCAATAGCAAGCAATATATAACGAGGCCTATTTTTCTTCTTTCTTAAATTTTTAATTACATGATGCTCATAACGGCGACAAAACACAGTTCAGCTTAGTGTTATTCCTTGGAATAATAGTGACAGTATTATTGGTCTCCATTTTTATAACTTTGAAGTCATGAGTTAATACTTACGTACTGTCATATTGTTTACTCTGTGTGTGTGTGTGTGTGTGTGTGTGTGTGTATTAGTCTTGTCTCTTGATATCATGGTCCTCTTCAAGAAGGAAGGAGAAACAACAACAGATTGTAAGCAATTCCAGAAATTCTAGGATAAACACATACGTCATAGAGCTAGGAGGGAATTGAGAGGACATTAAATTCAATCCCTTTTTGACAAATGAGAAGTTAAGTGACTTGTTCATAGTCTCACAGCCAGCACACATCTGGGGCAGAATCTGAGCTCAGATCTTCCCAACTACAAGCCCTGTGTCACCTAACTGCATGGATATCATTTACCCTTTGTAGTCCCTGTTGTGCCTGGCCCAGGGCTAAGACATAGTGGTTATTCTTGCTCGAAGAGGACCAAAATTACATCCCTATATCAGGGTCAAGGTACAGTATGTCTGACTGTGGCTGATCAGACCAATATGAGCTCAGAAGGCTCTATCACAGGTGGAGCACAAATAGTCCATATGACCATTTGGAGTGGAGATTTCTCTAAATTTGTCCATCTTGTGTTTCTTTAGTAAGATGTAGTAGATGCTTGTTAAGCAATTGTTTATTCTTTTAATGTCCATATAAGCAAAATGGAGCACTGTGAGCCACCAAGCCCAGTTTAGAACCTTGTTAATCAGAGTTAAAACGGGCCTCAGAAGCATTCTGGTCCAACCATTACTTGAATAAGAATCTCTTTTATAAAAAATTTGATAAGGGTTTATCTAGCCTTTTTATTTTTTGAGAGAACCCACTACCTCCTAAGGAAGTCAGTCCACTTTTCGCTAAGTGATTGTAAGCACATTGTTCCAGATGTGGAGCTTTTTTGCCTTTGGTCCCAGTACTATCTTTTGGGGCCAAATTGAACAAAGATATACTTAGTATATTTCAATTAATTCTAATTATTAATGGACTTAAGGACCTATGATCTTGGGTGTCTTGTTCTAGTAATTACTTTCTTGGAGATCTGGGCCAAATGTCCAGGCCAAACAAAGGCCAGGACTAAGTGTTAGGACCAGTAATGGAAGGTTGGCAATTAGCTAATGAAATTCACCTGACTAGATTAAAGAGGATTTTCTGGAATTTTCTAGTTCAGCTTCAATTTACTGGGCTTCCATCACTCAAGTGATTGTTCTCAATTTATAGGCTATGGATAGCAGTTTGCAAACCTTATAAATCTACCTTAAAATGTGTGAAGCTGCCCTTAGAATATCAGCCACCTGCTAGGGCCCCAAGGTACCCACCATTCTCCAAGATTTCTTTTGATGTCTAAAAAGCATAGAAAACCCCAAAACTAAACCCTTTTAAACAGAACATAAACTTGATATGTTGTAACAGGGTGATGCCTTGTGCAGTAATGTGTTTGTTCTTTCCTTACTCAGTGCGCTGTGGTTAAATATTTCTTTATTCGTGTTTGTAGTGACTGAATACCATAAGTTATGACTCTGATCTAATGCCCATGATTTATACTGCCATAATTCTGGTCACATGCAAATAAAATGTTTATCTGTATTTGTCCTTTAGAAAGCACTTGAGCGAGAAAGTCTTCATGAATTTGTGGGTCTATTACCTTTTTTTTTTTTGTTCCAGTTGAATCTTATGGAGGCATTAGCTGTATCTACACCAGCCTACTGGATTTAAGACTTTGGCCAGTTTAATCCTAAAAGACAGTGTGCGCAATGGTTAGAGAGCTGGCCTTAGAGTTACGAATATCCTGACTCTGACATATAATAACTGTGTGACCTGAATCTCTCAGGGATCCAGGTGACTCTCTTAAAACTATAAATTACAGAGAAGAAGATGTTTACTGAATTGATTGAGGGAGAGTTCTATATAATAATGAAATCACATTTGTAGCCCATATCCCTAATTTAATCCCACAATTGAACTGATTCTACCCTCATTACCAAATTAAATACTTCCTTTCCCCCCCCAATAGAATTGATTGGATTACCAGGAATTTTGAGAGTGTAACTAGAACCCCGCCCCCATAGTTTTTT